TTATGTGAAGATTTTATTTATTCATCAAAAGAATACATGCATGATTTATTAAAATTATTTAGAAAAAAATATAATTCGATTAATCAATATTTGTATGATATAGGATTTAGTACATTAGAACAAGAGCAGTTTATTAATAAATATAAAATTTAATTATTAATTTTATTACAGATATTTATAATATTTCTTACAATTTAAATTATAATTTGTTTAAAAAATTTAATAAATATAATTTTATTTAATAATAATAATAATAATAATAATAATATATTTAATTAATTAATAAATTTAATTTGATAAAAATTAAAATATTTCCATGTTTGGTTCAGTTTTAACAATGTTGTCTGAATTTTGATTATCTTTGTGATATTCTTCAGAAGTATTTTTTGTAGGTGTTTTATCACCTGATATAGGTTTGTTTAAATCTATTTCTAAACTTAAACCTATATTATTAACTGCTTCTTTTAAATTATTAAAAATGACTTTACGATCTTCAGCATCAATATTGGAACTATTAATAATATCATTAATTGTTTCAATAGGTGATCGAATACTAAAAATAGTTTTATAATTTTCATATTCTTTTTTTCTATCATCATTAATATCTAGTTTATTAAATGAATTGAGAATATTTTCCAAATTTTTTTCTTCTTCTGTTACTTTAAGTATTTTCGATTTTTGAATTCTAATTTTAGTATGTTGATGTCTTTCAAATATAATACTTTTTTGTTGTTTAATAAAATCGATAATTTTAATACTTTCTTCATGTGATATAATAAATCTTATACATCTCGAATTATTAAATAATGATTTGTATTCATGTTGTGTATAAAAACAATTAACAAAGAGTTCAGTTAGTTTAATACTAATCAAATCAACAGCTTTTTGTTGGTATAATATAGGATCTGAAATTTCTTCACTAAATATAGTAAAATGATTTTTAATATCACTATTTCCAAGACTATTATTATTAATAGTTTTCGATTTTAATTTTATAATTAAAATATTATTGTTATCAATCAATTTATTTTCATAATTAAAGTCGAAAATAAATTCATTTTTTTTCCTTGAATATGAATATGTTGAATTTTTGAAATTGGATAATAAAATTAATTCGTTTTTTAAATATGCATCTTCCATTTTTTGGATCTTGGAAAAAAATATTAATTTGGTTGTGTTATTTATAGATATTAGTATATAAATATTTTTCCAAAATAGGAAATTTTAATTATTAATTAATTGTTTTTTTGATTGTATTAATAATGTTCTTCTTAGTAAATTTTTTATAATTATTATAGTTAATTTTTTTATCTAATAATGTTTTTCTTATTTTTTCAGATATTGGTATTATCATAAATAATTTATCAATTTTAATATTACGAATTAATAAAGCAAAAAGTATATTATGATTGATAGATGTAATATATTCCAAATAATTAACTAGCGGTTTTTTATAAGTAAAGTTTTTGAAATATTCAATTTCATTTTTTTCAAGAGTTAAATTAATAATTATTTCAAATATATTTTTATCATTATGATTTAATATTAGGTTATTCCATATTGGTTTAATTAGTAATTTAAAAAAACATCTATTGATTAATAGATATTTTAGTTTATTATTATCAGAAGAAGAATTTATTCCATATAGAAAAATATTAAAAATTATTTCAGATGGTAAATTAATCATTTTAATTTAAAATTTAGGTAAAACTTATATTTATAGAACATATGATTAATAATACTAGTTAGTATAAATATCATGATTTATTTTAGTTTTAAAAATATAGCAATTATGTTAAATTTATTATATACACTTGTTTTTTATTTAGTATATCTTATATTGTTTTTGATTAATTTTTATAGATTAATCAATTTAAATCAAAGATATAAATCATATGTCATTACTATTCCATATAAAAGAAATGGTGATATATTAATCACAAAACGATTGGTTAAGACGTATAATAATTTATATTGTCCACCAGGCGGTAAAGTTGAATATAATGAAGAATTTGAAAAAACTGCTGAAAGAGAATTATTCGAAGAAACAGGAATATTAGTAATCAACAAACTCGAATTAATAATGATTAACAAAACAACAAAATATCAAGTTTATATTTATAAAACACTAGTTGATAATTTAGTTAATGTTATTAATAAAGAACCCGAAAAACATGAAAATTGGTTTTGGACAAATGAATTTTATAGATATCCATTAACACCAACCATGAATGTTTTAAAGAATGAAATACTAAAAAATATTCGACCAAGATATATAGTTTTGTCTGGACCTACAGGTGTTGGAAAAATGAGTTTGATTGAAATGTTACGACAAAAAATTAAACAAGATGGATTTTCTGTAAAAATTTGTATTGAATCTATATTAAAAGGAAATGAATATTTGTTAGAATATAAAGAAAAAGATATCCAAAAATTTGAATATGCGTTATTAAGCATTTATCATAAATGCAGAATTGAAATAGAAAATTCAAAAGAAGATTTTGTAATAGTCGATCGTGAAGTTTTTGATGGTGATATTTATAAAGAGAAATATGGATTTGAATTAGATATTATAGAAAAAGAACATATTGAATTCAAAAAATCCATGTTAGTTTTTGTAGTATTATGTTCCGATAAAAATTTTGAAAGAAATTATTATAAAAGAAAAGAAGAAGATCGAAAATATACTCTTAATGAAAGTAAAAAAATTCTTAAATTATATAAAGAAAAGTTTAAAAGTAATGTTTGTGATGATGCGATAGTTATTAATAATGATAGTACTATAGAAGATAGTGTTGATGATATTAAGAAATATATTAATCCATTTTTAGTTAATTTATAATTTATTTAATTTTTATTGTTTTCGAATTATTAATATGTTAAAATTATAAATAAACAAATTTGTTCAGATATAATTAATTTGTTAAATAAATTTAATCATGTTTCTGATTGAATTGATATGTCATATTATTCAATATCTATATGGTATTGATGAGTCTTTATTTTCATGTCTCTTAGTTTCTAGAACATGGGCTAAAATTGTTATTCCCATTTTATGGCAAAATCCATTTAAATATTGTATAAACAAAAATATTGATTCATTAAAACAAATCATTTATTATAATTTAAATGCTATCGAACAACGTGTTTTAAAGAGTTATTTTCCAAAAAATAATATTTTACATACTCTTTTTCCATATTTGAAATATATAAAAGAAATCAATATTTTTTTTTTTTTTTTTTGGTATTAAGGTGAGGCCTTGCTCGTATCTTTATTGGTAGTTTAAAAATTAGTAGCTAC